CGTGGATTGAATGTTGGCAAAGATGCCGTTTAGAAGGACTTGAAATTCTACTAGTCTGCTCATCTCAATTATAACGAAAGTGTCGTCCATACATGGGCAACAAAACGCGACTCCGTGGCGGTCGAAAGCGATTTTTTACGTTTTTATAAGAGCAGGCTGAATATCGGGGAAACCGAGTTACTTGTTTAGAAGGCTACGGCGAACATTCCAAGGGAAGGGCAATAGTCGATAGGAGACCTATCTGTGTTCACATATCCGACTCGTTATTTCGTCGTCGATGTTGATCTTTCCAGAAATTTTACTCTCCAGGTATCCGGCCTCGTCCACTGATGTGATAGTAATTTCTCTGGTGCCTTGGGCCATATCTTACACTTTCTGCCTTTGTTCCCGTTTCTACTAAAATAATTGCTGCTGTGGCAATCCGCTTTCGCGATCGTCATGCAACCCCGCCGTCTGCCTCGGACTCTGGTTCAGTTCTTTTGTACAGCCACCGGAGATGTGACCCTAGCCAATCAACTGTGCTCTTTCGATCATTAACTGCCGACCGATAGAGTAAATGTGCACACGGTAGTCGGTGATAAGATCGCAGTTGGTATCCAGACATTATATGGTGATACTGTCCACGTACGTACTTGTTATCAGTAGGTTTTCTCTTACTGAGTTAGGCAGGTTGCCCGTTGTGGTCCGGCTGTTGGGTTTAGTGAGGGCTAGGGTTAGGCGTGGGTTAAGTTTCAGGAATAGGGCTTGCGTTTTAGGGTCAGATTTCAATGTTAGGGTTAGGGTTTAGGTTCCCGTTAGGATTACGACTAAGGTTAGGGTTAGGGTTGAGGTAGGGCTTAGGGTTAGGGTCAAGGTTACGGTTGGGTCAAGGTTAGAGTTAGGGTTATGACTAGGTTTTGGGTTAGCGTTGGATTTTAGGATTTTGGTTACGTGTCGGTTTTGAAGCTTAGGTTAAGCTTTACGGGTGAAGTCAGTGTTGGATTCTACTGCTAAGCCTAGGGTTTAGATTTCTGCCATTATTCCACCTACTTAAATCTTCCCATCACTTTCCCTGGTAACTTTACTTTTACCCAGAACTACAGCCTTCCTCTACCAGCCCTTCCATTTACTCCACCCGTATAACCCTCTTTCCCACCATTCCCGTACGACAGGGACCTGGCTGTCCTCCTCCCCATTCTTGGCTACCAACGATGATCTAATCATCGGATCTAAGACTTTGCTCGGCACTCACCCTTTCGCGCACACGCCGACATGCATAGGAATCAGTATTCAAGTGGAGTTTATGCTGCATATATGTCACAGTATGCATTCTGAGATGACAAAATGAAAAAAATAGAAGACTCTTCGGAAAACGAAGTTGTACTCGTGGATTTTCAGGTTGGTAACATCAATCCGCCATAAGATTAAACGAAGATAAACGAGAACGTCAGACCGTCACACTAAACCATTTGCGCCACAGGACGGATGTTGATAGACAGATCGATAGCGTTTGAGAGGGGTGCAGTTGTCACGGGGTCACGGTAATTTTCTGAGCAGGACAGGGGGGAAAAGGAGAGTAGAACAGTTACGACTCTCTGTGCTGGAGTGAGTGGGATCGCAGGCTAGTGCGGGCGGCTAAATTAGCAGTCGCTTATACGGTCTGGGGGAGGGGTTCCGTGAGTCATGATCGCACGCCCTTATAAGTGGGGTCTAGTTCGACATGGCGGTTGGTGTTGGTCGTGTTAAAATGCCAACCTTTGAGGAAGCGGGTTTGCTGGAAATGAAGATGTCAAAGCGCTTTGTCGGGAGATTGTTTGAGAAATGCCTTCAATATAAGGCAGGGAAGAGAATTTCCGGGGTACTTCATCATCGTTAGAATCGAGGCTTTGTGGTTGTCTCTGAGAAAATTTTACGAAGATGATCGCATATCCACTGGACCGTAACAACCGTCGCTACTGCGGCGACGAAAAGCCCAATGGAATGGAGTCCGGACATAACCTCTTTCATGCACCACGGGATGGTTGCTTTCATGGTTAGGAATAATTCTGACACCCGAATCTTTTCGCTGGACGCTTGTTTCGAGTTTGCCGTCACGGAATCTCTGCTCACTCACATTTAAAAACGGGAGGGTTTCTCCTGTTGCATCTTCCTGCGTAAACTGCATGGCTGGAAAAACGTCATTGGAACTCTGATATAACTGCTCAACCCCGCAGGTCTTTGTGATGCCAAATGTGACATTTACACATCGCAACTACATTTATATTTTGAAAGTTTACAGAAAATTCTCTTTTAGTTTATTTTCTATAATACTGAAATGGACATTATCTCCTCTGAAAATCGAGTACCGTTGGCGTAGACGGACCTAGTTTATTTTGGAAATCACATATAGGAATGCGGTACTCCTACAGTTTGCCCTCGACAGTCCTTAAAGGTGTTCTTAAGGATCGTTTGTACATGGGTGCAGGAAAGTGCGTGCCACCTCAGAGATTAGTCTTAGCCATCCTCTCCAGAGGGCTAAACGAACTATTAGTTGTACACTGTACTTCGGTTCATTTTTTCTTTAACGCCACTCTAACTAATAGATCTTATTCGTTTCAAAGAATTTGTACAGCCCACCTGGATGGCCGTTCGAAATCCGGAAAACAGGAGAAAGATACAACCTTTGAATTTTACCCCTCTAAATCACTTAACAGTGCGGCTGAATTGACAAGTCCAGGAAAAACTGGTGGTTTTTTTACTATTGTGATCTCCACATGCAAAAAGTTGGAGGTTGACAGACGATGGAATATAGAGACTCATATTTCCTCTGATGCAGAAGACGAACTTTCGTCAAACTGCTGACCTCAGTCCTTTGTTATGCGGATTTTTACCAACAGCTCTTTTAGTTACCGACGATTAGACGATGCATTTGCGAAAGAGTCGTTGAGTTCACACTCTGGTGTTAAGGGAGAACTCATGGGACTGAGTGGGCTGGATTTCCCTTAATGATATTTTCTTTTATTTTTTTTATTTAGCTTACGGCTGCACCCGATGAATCAGCATGGTTGAAACGAAGAGTAATGTGGCACCGCAATTTCATCCACGCCGATTTGCAGTTCTCCTATTTCCTTCTGGAAATGCAAGACTAAACGCAAGTTCGTATGAGAATTTGAGTTCAGGAAATGCGGGTGTATAAATGGCCACCAGACCACAGTGCACTCAGTTGCGACGCATGGTTACTCCATGCATCGAGGGGAGCGCAAATTTAATGATTAGTTGTAATCCGTATGACGGTGCGCGAAATGTGTTTCTGTGAAATTAATTTGCACGTTCTGATGCCCATTCTCATGAAAGAACATCAATGATGTAGTAGGTCCGGGCGAACGGACCGGGAAATCTCGACACCCTTTTAAAGTGAAGTAATTCCTTCGTTTGAAAAACCTATTAAGGGGAAGGTAATGTCATGCGGGTATGCATAATTTTAAGCGTGCATCATCCAAACCCTTCCAGTAAGCGTTGCACTAAAATACTTAATCTGCACAGTAATATTTGATGGATATATACATTAAATCTACAGTTATTTAAAAAATTTATTACATTTTGTGTCTAATGATATGGTAGACGGCGCTCAACGATCATGTTGTGGGAGTGAATGGCCCAACGGTTAGGGGGTTGGACCTCTAGCCAACCAGTCACGGAATCGAGCCTTAGAGGTTACGAAACCTGGGATTTGGTACAACCGATTGATGACGGTAAACGAAACAGAAATTTCCATGTTAGTGTACGCTGTTTTCGATGGTAATTTTAATCTCGCCTGTCTCCTTTATTTTTTGGAAAAGAATGGTGCGTTCCTGGGATGTTTCATTTGATGAAAATTTTCCAAATCGGGGAAAAAATACGGAGCTGCATTGTAAAAAATTCCTCTGAGTGTGGTCTTAAAGACGTATAAACTACGGTTGGCGAATACTCCCTAAAGCAGATCAGTATACTCCAACCTCCTCTTATTAGAAGGCCTCCTAGTGTATGCAGATGGTATGGATAGCCACACGCACTATGGCAGAAATATGAATAAACATGCGGATATTTGCAATACGAATGATCACACAGGCATCTGATGATATCTAGCATGTAGATACTTCACACCGCGTACATGAATTGTAATTAAGGTTGCATGAGCATCAAAAATAAATTCGAATATTTTGACAACTGTGCCGCCCAGTAAAACCAATGTCTTAGATCATTAACAAGATTTATGTTGCTTTCGATGGAACATACCTTGGAATTAAAGGTCTATTAAACGCTGGTAAGTGAGATTATGTAGCCACCTCTAACATGTTTGTGCGCAAAATAGGAGACAAATATATCGATAATAATGGTGTTTACAGTATTTCAAAATCTCGCCACTTTTTGGAAATAAGACATAAGTTCGTGTGCGTGACAAAAGGCGTTTGCAACTGTTTAACAGCCAGAAACCTGTACTGCAAATGAGGCGATGTTGGGGAGACCAGAGAACTGAAAAACGAATACCAACTGTTGACCCACGAAGTCGATTCGGTTTTGTAATAAAAGCGACTGCTAATTATAAACCTCAATTAGTCCGTTCGTGCTGCGTAAAAAAAGTATACTTTGGAGTCCTTATCTGGCTGGTAAATATGAAATCGTATACCACGGGGGTCTAAAAGCGCTGGACGTTAATAGTGCAGACGAATTCACTATAGAGGCCCAGCGGAACTTGAAATCCCTAAAGCAAGATGAGCATGTTAGAATGTGAATAGAGGATAGGGATACTCAGATGTAATTGAAATGATGGATAGATAAGGGTAAATAGGGAAAATTTAACGAGTTCGACATTGGAGTACTGACTAAGGATGTTTCGAAAAGGCGATCAGAACATGGCGTGACGTATTCTTGTTTGTGGGAGTTGGAACACTTCTTTATGTAGGACAGCCCAGCAGTGAGTATACAATCAGTGATATGACTTTGAAAAGTCAGGTATGACAAGGAGTAACAAATATATTTTCACGTCGGTTAAACGGAGGTTTTCAGTTGAGAGTCGCAACAGTGTCCTTGATCCAAAATCGTACGGAATCGGTCCGAACGTGCACGGTGTACGGTCCCTTGCATCCACTACTGAAGCTGTGCACACCGTAGAGCACCCAGGTGCCATCTTCCGCAAAATAATGCAATCCGCCTCCACTGTCACCCGTGCATGTAGGCTAAATTAGCCAAGAAAATACGTTGTTTAGTATATTCTGCCATATGTACTGAGTGTATTCTTCAAAACTACGGCTTACCCCAAACTCCATGTCAGTGCAAAAGTGGAATTCCTTTTCGTAAGTCGCATGTTTTTTCTTGCATTCTGAGGGGTCCACAACTGTTGCTTTGATTTCCATTAACGCTTCTGGTTGATCTGGAAGCGGTTCGTTTGGTGGGTTAGGAATCAGTCCCCACCCAGCAAGAAAACAGGAGTCTCCAGGCTCCACATTCAAGCCGAATTCGGGGAGGCATGCGAAGTCCACCAACGTTGCTTGTAGGGCGAGACAGTTCAAAATAAATGACAGTTTGGTTCTCTATTTTGTTACAAAATATGCGACGCTTCTAAATTCGAGGAGTCACCTTGCTTTAAATGCAACGCTAAAAGAAATGCATGAGCTAACTGTCAAGCAAACTGCGAAGATCTAATTCGGAGACGAAAAAGACAGTCCATTATTAGATGTAATTGCATTTATCTAGACGAAGGAGACACAGCTGTAGATTCTTGTTAAATGAAACATATCTGAAATTATGTCATATACTACGTGTGGAGGATCCCTTTGTACTCTCGGAATAAGCTTCCTTTGATAAGACTTCGAACATGTATAAGTGACTGCCTTTCATGCTTATGTAGATAATTTGTATCAGAATTCAGTAAAGGTCATATTTAGCCAGCTTTTTAGCTGCAATGTAATCAGGAAAGCATAAAAGATGTCAATATTATGACCAAAAAACCCCTATGTTAATATATAAATATGTATACGTAAGAAAGGTGAAGTTCTTTGGGAAACGGCAAAATTTTATTGTGAATTTTCGAGACTGGTTCCCCAGCTCGTCTTCAGACAACGGGCGTGCAGAAACAATTAACTTCTAGGCTGAGTCTGGCAAAAGGATTCCATGATTGGTTAAGGTCGTCATCTCGGGATTGGTTGACTCAGTTTGAATCTGTCCTTAACGATTTTGTATGTGGCATCTAAATCGATATGCCGGTTGATGCATGCCTCATCTGAGTGCATTGCCTCCAGGAATTCGCGGCCCTTCCTTGTTTGGCAGGCGCCAACAATGCGAGTGTTTTCCCATGCGAATTTATGCACAGTGTCCAGTGTGTGCATGGCCACCTGGGATAGATGGTCGCGTCTCTTCACCGCGAATTCCTGGAGGCGATGCACTCAGATGAGGCATGCATCAACCGGCATATCGATTTAGATGCCACATACAAAATCGTTAAGGACAGATTCAAACTGAGTCAACCAATCCCGAGATGACGACCTTAACCAATCATGGAATCCTTTTGCCAGACTCAGCCTAGAAGTTAATTGTTTCTGCACGCCCGTTGTCTGAAGACGAGCTGGGGAACCAGTCTCGAAAATTCACAATAAAATTTTGCCGTTTCCCAAAGAACTTCACCTTTCTTATTATATTTCTTGGGATGCCTGTTATTCAATTTATATGTATACGTGTTAATATATATGTAATTAATTCGCTATGCCTACTGAGTGGTTACATGGTCTTATGGTCGATCGATTAGCTGCATTATATGCATATTATTGGGAAAGGTCCTAAGTGCAGTTGCCTAAAGGAAACGAACTAGGGCGATTCGCTCCAATTAGACAAAATAACGGAGTAATCATCACCAAGAAATATATTAAAATGCTGACTAAACGTACATCGTTTCACATATAGGCCCAGCTTTAGAAGGGCGACATCAAAGCCAAAAATCTGTGCATCCAGCCGGAACCTCGGATGAATGACGACCTGTTTTACTGGAACATTGTATGCAGGACGTCCACGTCGGGTAAAATTATGGTCTCCAACGCGGACAACCAATTTATGGCCCCCGTACGTCTCATAGTCAAAGGGCACCCCGAGTGGGATGCCTGAGCAATAACCATCCGGAACGACACAGTGAGCAGCTGTCACAACCCAAGTGGGCGAGATGAGAGTTCCTCCACAAAATGGATATGCACCATACGCCGAACTGTACAGGCCAACCTAACAAAGATAAAGGTAAATTGCCGTTAGGACTCTTTGCCAATTTCGCAAAGGTTATTTGTGCAGACGTTTCGGGAAAGCTTAGGCGGTCTCATGCAGTCAGAAGGACGGATTAAGATCAGAGTGAAACTGAGAACTGGTGACGTGAAATAAAAACAAATACTTCCGCCTATATTACCCAGGCTATGGATATAGATGTTTCCTTCGCGCCTGCCATCCAGCATCATCCAGACAGCGATGAGAAATGAGAATATTCCTTAGTGTAAAAGTAATACAAACAAAATTTTGCGGACTTACGTGGCTTGGCCAACTATTTGGTGGGGCTTCGTGTTTTCCTTTTTTGTAATTTTCCGCCGGCGTCTGTGAAGCTGGGCGTTTTCCGCACTCCTCAGGCAGTCCTTTGACTAGAACATCTGTACCTGTAATGCAAACGTTTGCACATGACTATTCAGTAAAAAACCAAACTGTTGTGACACATTAACAAGTTCAGTTAAGGAAAAAAAAGAGCGGTGTAAGATGGTCAAATGCATTAGCGTGCTGGAAAGGCGTTCCTAGGAAATGGCCGTCTCAGTACCTTGCGTGCCCATCCAGAGAAAACATGTTATGAAGATGCTCCCTGACAGCCACATTCTACAATGTCCACAAGGGATGCAAGTGCGAAGGTCCTTTGTTGGTAAAGTTCTAGGTAGCAGTAATATATGAGAGGGGATGTTGACGAAATCACAATGGACCAATGGTGCGAGACAAAAAACATGATCTAAGTGGAAAGTTCCTGGTTACGTTCTACAGATCTGCCAGTAAATTTTGTGCAGTATCTACTCCAAGTAAACAGATGTAAAATCACGGGGTTACGCAAACAATAGCAAGCACATTAGCAGTTCCTCCAATAGCCAGGAGTATTGCGCAGTGCTTTTGATTCGGTTGTAAATAGTTAGTGATGAAAATACATTAATAAGATCTGGGAAGATACAAGGAAACTTTCCTGTTAGAAAATCCGACTCATCTACGGCTCTTTGTGCATTAGGGTGCGTAATAAGGTATTGTGGATTATGTAATAATCGAGTTTAATTGAGTACCAGTATGCCATTGAAACCTGGCGTTACAAATGTCCATAAGATTGCAAAAATCATGAAATATGTTCGACTTCACGGTAAATCTCTATTAGAGCGATCATCAGTCCAAATGCATAGCCGAAAACACCCATTTCATGGCAGATATATTTTATGTTAATGAAATCGTGAAAGAATTTCTAAAAGACAATATTAGGCTTGTTGCCGAAGGACGCACCATATGACGGTCGTTAGAGAAGCAAGTACAAATGGGGGAAGTTCTCTGGATGGTTTCCGGGACATGCAGTTTAAGTGGTACGAAAATTTTTGGGCAAACAGCTGTGAAAATTCTACATTTTGTAAAGCAAAATCAAAAGAACCATGCCTCTGTATATTGGTGGAAGCCTCTTTTAGTATTTTTCCATGCTTTGGGCCTTATGAAATCGTTGGCTATTGAGGCAGTTATGTTTGCAAAAACTTACGTGATGACACGAACACTAGATAATGAATTCCAAAAGCAAAGTCTACCATCGACTATGACCAAAAGCGTTTAAAGCACCCTCCTCGGGAAAATTAAAAACGTACTAGTGCTAACTTGAATTCCACCTTTAAGATACAATGACTAAAATTAATTTTTTGAAGCAGGAACTAATCTATCTTTTGTTTTACTACGGTGCATATCGGTAGAAGGGGTTTGCTGTGACAAACCGAACTGCGGTTGATTGCGGAAATCTGGGTATTAAGAGAGGAGAGTCTAAAACACCGCTGAAGCCCTTTCTAAAATCAAAGAA